TATTTAAATGATATTCCGCTCCTCTACTCTTCCTGCTAAAGTGTGTAACATCACATTTTCCCACATTGTATTCTATCTTCCAGGATTTTGATCACTTGTTTAACTTGTCTATATCCCTCTTTAGATACCAACAACGAGACTAACTTCATCTACCACATTCCTCTCCCACATTGGAACCAAGTCCAAAATTTATTGGTCCCACAGTCAACAATGAGATAACAAAAACATCATAATTAAGGATAATAAAAGTATGTTTTAATTGTATTTTCTGAGGGTTAAGTACCTTGAAGAAAAAACTTCCATGTTCTTCTTCAAACTAATGTGATGCGATATGGAACAAAGATCTTTATTCTCTGTAGTTCTTCATTTATTTTCTTTTATCTAGAAGCTGGCTCTTTCAACATCAGAGAACTCCTCAGGAGCTATCACCTGATGATGCATGGTCAATCTTTACGATGAGACAAGAGCTCAAAATATTTTCACTCAGAGAAAAGACATTTGTTTTTAATCTCTTTACTCTTTCAGGTGATATGGGTGTCACTGGCAAGGCCAACATTAGTTGTCCTTTAATATTTGCTGTTGAACTAAATGTTTTGCTCAACCATTTCAGAGGACAGTTAAGAGTCAACCACATTGCTGTGGGTCTGGAGTCATACATAGACTAGACCAAGTAAGGACTGCAGGTTTCCTTCTCTAAAGAGCATTAGTGACTCAGATGAGTTTTACAGCAATCAATGATCTTCATTGTGGCTTGGTTTTACATTCCAGATTTTATTAATTTAATTTAAATTCCACCAGCTTCCATAGTGGAATTTGAACCCAGAGCATTAGCCTGACAAGTCTCACATAGCAAGGCAGATATGGGGAGGCAAATGGTGTAGTGGTAATTCCATCTGACGAGTAATCCATAACGCTCGGTTAATGTTCTGGGGGCATGAGGACAAGTCAGGAGACTGAATTGGTTAGAATTTTGTAGATTTCTACAAGATTTCCCTCCTTCACCTAAACTCCAGAATATAGTCCTAACCAATCCAGTCCCCATTCAACAATGTAACATTACCTCCTTTACAACCCATTATCTTCCAGACAGCAACTGCTGTTGGCAAGGTACCAACGTCGGCGTAGAGAAGGATCAGTGTTATTTGTGGGAGGGACATGTGGTGATGAGGATTGCAGGAGGAATTAGGAGCAAGGGTGGGTGGATTGACTACCCTTGCACTAGGGCCAGTCCCTCAGTCACACACAAACTACTGCAGATTGGAATGCTTTCCTATCCAAAGACTGACAGCCTGTCTACAGACTGCCTACACTCGTGTACTAACTGCATAGGCTGGCTCTTTTCCATCCCATTTGGAGCTGTAGCCCAAGTAGAGAGAGCCCCTTAATTGGCATTAATTGATCATGAAAGGAGCAATATAATGGAAGCTCCCTTCCAGAACTCATTTCTCAAAACTGGTGAGGTTCTTATGCACCTACACAGTCTGTACGATTCAGCTTGCCATTTACCTCTGGGCGGGGAAGTTTCAATTCTTGTACCAATTGTGTAAACCTGCGTCCTTCCAATCATTGATCTCTCTGTCAACGTTAACATTTTGACCATCTTTCAAACATTCAAAGACTTTTCTTCCTCGTTCATGGGATGTGGGTGTCACTGGCTGAGCTGACATTAGTCACGAATGCTGAGTTGTCTTTGAGAAGGTGGTGGTGAGCTGCCTTCTCGAACCATTGTGGTTCGTGTTCTGTACATGTCCCTACATTTCCATTCAAGGAGAAATTCCAGGATTTTGATCAAATGACACTGAATAAATAGCAAATGAGTAGTGTGACGGGAACTTGCAGTTAGTAATGTTCCCATATATCTGCTGCCCTTGTCCTTCTAAATGGTGGTGGTCATAGGTTGGAAGGTGTTGTCAAAGGGGCCTTTGTGAATTTCTGCAGTGTATCTTGTAGACGGTACACACTGCTGTCACTGTGTGCCGGTGGTGAACGGAGTGTAATATAGAATCACAGAATAGTTATAACGCAGTAGGAGGCAATGGGCCCACTGTGTCTGCATCGGCTCCAATCGCCTTCCTTTTTTCCATAACCCTGCACACTATTTCTAACTAAATAACCATCCAACTCCTGCACTTATACAGCACCTGTACCACTGTAAAATCATCCCTCCCAAAATGCATGATAGGATCAAATATCAAACAGAATTACACAGCAAACCACATAAGGACATATTAGAACAGATGATCAAAAGCATTGTCAAACAGGCAGCTTTTAAGGAGGGTCTTAAAGGAGGAGCATGAGGTAGTGAGGCAGAGAGATTTATGAAGGGAATGCCAGAGGTTAGGATCTTGGAAACAGAAAGCACAGCTGCCAATGGAGCAGGGCTATGCAGGAAGTCAGATTTCAATGATCACAGGAATGTGGGAAGGGGCAGGGGGTGGTTTCCACAGATGGGAGGACGAGAGACCATGGAGCAATTTTCATATATAGGTGAATTTTTAAAAACGCACACTTTGGCAGGAGTCAATGCAGATTGGTGAACACAGAGGTGATCGTATGAATTAGGATAGGTACAGCATGGCTTTGGATAAGTTCAAGCTGGTGCAAAATTTAAGGTCAGTTAGGACAGCATTTGTAAAATCAGATAAGAGAAAGGAAGATTATCCTTTGGTGCTAATTTTGTCTCAGCAGCAGCCTGTTGGTTATGAGCAGTTGTAGTTACTACCTATTTGATAATCCCTGTTTAATGGTGAGTTAATTGAATAAACAGCAATGAAAATGTTGCGAACAATGCTCTGTCCTTCAGTATTCATATAATATTTGAACGATTGAAGGCTTCTGTGCCCCATGTCACTTAGGAAAATGTATCTGGTGAAAAAGAATTTTTTTAAAAATGTGACCTAGTTGTATGGCTGAAGGATGCTGTTTTAACTTACTGTTTCCCTGTTTCAGATCAAATGTTTACCTGAAAGGATGGCTTGTGATAGCCCCACGTATTTTACCCAACTGTAAAAATTGTGTTCTATTGCATGCAAGATATTTTTGTATGATTTGCCTTGTAAGAAATCGTACATGTATTGATACAAGCCCATTTGATGGTCCAGTGTGCCACTCGGAATTTGGTTATATAGTGATGGAAATATCAATATTCTAACCCAATCCTCAATGATCTACTGTTTATAATAATTGGTCTACAAAATACCACGGTTTGAGACAATTTTTCAACATGATAATTGTTTGAAAATAAAGGTTTTTACATTAAAAAAATTCATTCTGACTCTTTGAAGCTTCTGTTGTGATTAACCGTGACTGGGCTAATCTAACAATCAAAGATTATTCCCTTTCTTCATTAATAATAAGTTACAAATTGTCAAACGCTGTGATGTCTACATGCAACATTTTGCTGATAAATTCGACTAACCTATATTGTGATGCAGAGTTATAATAGAGTGAAAGTTTTTGCACTATATATTCTGATTGCCATCCCTATTTAGAAGAAGCAGTATTCCATTCCTAGCATGTGCACAGTACATACTGAAGTTGTAATTCATGAACAGACTCTGATCAAATTTCCTGCATCTTTCCTGATCCGTTGCTGAACTGCTAAAAATACATTGACAGAGCTGTCATCACCACCAAGGATCAATTTCTATTTGGCAACTGCTTCACAATTCTCTGACATTCACACAGGCATGGTTCATTTTCAGCAGCACCAGAAGTCACGAATTCCTTGGGTCACTACACAGGTGACTGAATGATCCTGTGTTTTCAGGCAGTGAGCAGCATTCATAGTGAGTGCATTTCAAGAGGGGTGAGGTTATGGCATAGTGGGAAAGTCACTAGGCTAGTCATCCAGAGAACCAGACTTATGGTCTGGGGTTCAAATTCCTACCATGGTAAAAAGTGGATTTTGAATTCAATAAAAAATCTGGAATGAAAAGCTAGGTTAATGGCAACCATTGGCAAAAGATGATGATGTGGGAAAAATCTTTCTCTATGCAATTTAGAATGAATGACCTGACAGGGTTATGGACACAAATTCAATTGTAATATTCAGGACTGATTTAGATAAATACTTTAAGGAGAAAATCGCAGCAACGTCAGAAAGTGTGGGATACAGGAGCGAGCTGGATTGCTGTTCAAAACAGCTCATGAAGACCCAATAGGCTGAATGACCTCCTCCTTTGTTATACTATTTTACAATTCCATAAATCTTCCAACCACCTACCTACACTACACTCTTATACAAAATGATAGCTATTTTGAAAGATAATCTGAAGTGATTAGAATTAATTAAGTGCTTTTAAGCCTTAAGAATTCAATGGCTCTAACAAAGGTATTTGGAAAATATACAGAGAATGCTGGAGAAACTCAGCAGATCTGGCAGAATCTGTGGAGAAAGAAACAGAGTTAAAAAAAGTGTATGTTCAACACCACCTTCTCAAGAGCAACTAGAGATGGGCAACAAATTGATGCTAGCATTTCCAGAAAGACTTTAAGATATCACAGTGATGTCTCAGTGAATAGTCAATATCTTGGGCACAGAATAAAGTGGCTGGAGGAAGAGAGCTGGCAATAAATGACACTAATTGGATAAGCTTTTCCAAATTGTACATCATTGTCTCACGACTGCCTTTAACTACTGAGGATCTCAGCTACCAAGTGGCATAAATACCTTAATATCAAATTATTACACAGAACATTAAAGGAAATCTCCATGCAATTGCTCTAAATAATCCATCACGTTCATGCTTTCATAGACAAATCCATTATTAAGCAGAAAAGCAAGAATCAATTTCCCTTTCCAATTTCAACACCTGTTGTGAAATGCTATGAAGCAGGGAACATTTACACTTTCTCACCTTAACCGCCACAGGATCTAGACCTCATATTCCAAGTCCAGTGGCTTTCTCATTCTCAGATGACAGCTGACAACTGTTAAGGCTGACCAGTCAGTCCTAAGACTCAAACAAACATGCTGAACACTTGTAAAGCTTACTTACCCTTTGACCGTTTTTTCCCACCAAACCCGGAAGACCTTGAGGCCCTGCAGGACCCTGCAAGACAAACATTGGCAAATACCCCATGTCAACCTCAACTTGTTTCCAATAGTTTGGCACTTCATCATCCAATCAAGGTAGAGTTGTCAACCCTCTGCAAGGATGCCCTGGGGTATTGAGGGATTGAAGTTTAATCTCTAGACACTGTGAATGACACCACTTTAAAAAAAAGTCACAAAGATATTGAAAGTGAAAAAGGAGGGGCTGTTTTTTTGTCCAGGGCAACAAAAGATGGGAGGTCTCCAAATGAAACAAATCGGGAGCCAACAATTTATTTGTGATTCGATGTCAGGAAGAATCATAGAGAGAACAGCAGTACACGGAAGTACACGCATTAATTCAACAGGCAGAGTCTTACAAAATATTGTCAAGTGAAATATTGTAAATTTACTCACCCTTTCTCCTTGTGGTCCTGGTAAACCGTGGGCACCAGGCTCCCCCTGCAAAAATATTGGTCAGATTAAAAATGTCTATTTAAATTTGAAAGGATTAAATTATGAGTACAGGTTTCATAAACGAGGGTTGTTTTTCCTTTCATTTAGGCAATGAAGCTGGGCAATCTAATCAACGTGTTTAAGAAATTTAAGTGATTTTACTTGCCCCCCAAGTCACTCACTGATCCAGCCCCATTGACCTCACTGCCTTCTCCCTGACACCACCCTAGACCTCCCTACCTCTTCACTCACCTGCCATCTTATCTCCTCACCCATGTCCATCCTACCCCCTCATCCACATGCCATCCCACCTCCTTACCCATCTGCCACCTTACTCCCTCACTCACTTGTCACTTTATCCTCGCACTGACTTGACATCATTATCCCTCACCAATCTGCCTCCTTACCCCGTCACCCACCTGTCACTCTACACCCTCACCACCCCGCCATCCTATCCGATCACATTCCTACCACCGTTCCTCCTCACCACCTGCAATCCTACACGTCACCCACATACAATCCCATCCCTCACCCACCTGCCATTCCCCTACTGCCACACCCACTTGCCCACTCACCTACCATCCTACACCTTCACCCAGCTGGCACACTACCTCCTTACCGACTAGCTGTCCTATCCCTGCAGACACAGGTAAGATAAAACAAGAATAAGATTATAGTCAGTCAGATGTATTCTGTCAGTAATCAGAAAATCTGGGCATTGATCTTAAAATCACAACCTTTATAATATGACTTTATAATATTAGCTGAAGAAGGGCTCAGGAGAGCTATAAGGGGGCATGAGAAAATCTTGGCAGATAGGATCAAGGAAAACTCCAAGACTTTTTACACGTATGTGAGGAATAAGAGAATGACCGGACAAAGGGTAGGGCCGATCAAGGATTGTAAAGGGAATTTGTGTACGGTGCCTAAAGAGATAGGAGAGGTCCTTAATGAATACCTTTCTTCGGTATTCACAACTGAGAGGGACCGAATTGTAGAGAAGGACAGTGTGAAACAGGCTGTTAGGCTAGAAGAGGTTGATGTTAGTCAGGAAGATGTACTAGGAATTTTGAAGAACTTAAAGATAGATAAGTCCTCCGGGCCTGGTGGGATTTATCCAAGGATTCTATGGGAAGTGATGGAAGAGATCGCAGGGCCTTTGGCAATGATCTTTTCGTTCTCACTGTCCACTGGTATAGTGCCGGAAGACTGGAGAGTGGCAACCGTCATTCCCTTGTTCAAAAAAGGGAATAGGGATAACCCCGGAATTACAGGCCAGTTAGTCTTATGTCGGCGGTGGGCAAATTATTGGAAAGAGCTCTGAGAGATAGGATTTATGATCACTTGGATCGGCACAGTTTGATTCATGATAGTCAGCATGGATGTGTGAGGGTAGATCATGCTTCACAAACCTTATTGAATTCTTTGAAGAGGTGACCAAACACGTGGATGAAGGTAGAGCAGTGGATGTGGTATAAATGAATTTAAGTAAGGTGTTTGATAAGGTTCCCCATGGTAAGCTCATGCAGAAGGTAAGGAGGCATGGGATAGGGGGAAATATGGCAGATTGGATTCAGAATTGGCTGACCCTTAGAAGACAAAGAGTGGTAGTGGACGGAAAATATTCGACATGGTGCTCAGTTACGAGTGGTGTACCACAAGGATCTGTTCTGGGTCCTCTTCTATTTGTGATTTTTGTAAATGATTTGGATGTAGAAGTGGAAGGGTGGATTAGTAATTTCGCGGATGATACTAAGGTGGGTCGAGTTGTGGACAGTGCGGAGGGCTGTTCTAGGTTACAAAGGGACATTGATAGGATGCAGAGCTGGGCTGAGAAGTAGCAGATGGAGTTTAACCCTGAAAAGTGTGAGGTGATTCATTTTGGAAGGAAAAACTTGTAAGCATAATACAGGGTTAATGGAAGGATTCTTGGCAGTGTGGAGGAGCAGAGGGATCTCGGGGTTCATGTCCACAATTCCCTGAAAGCTGCCACCCAGGTGGATAGAGTTGTTAAGAAGGCGTACGGTGTGTTAGCTTTCATTTATTGAGGGACTGAGTTCAACAGCCGTGAAGTTATGCTCCAGCTATACAAAACCCTGGTTCGGCCACACCTGGAGTATTGTGTCCAGTTCTGGTCGCCTCACTACAAGAAAGATGTGGAAGCGTTGGAAAAGGTGCAGAGGAGATTTACCAGGATGTTGCCAGAAATGGAGGGAAGGTCTTACATGGAAAGGTTGAGAGAGCTAGGGCTTTTCTCTTTAGAACGATGAAGGATGAGAGGTGACTTGATAGAGGTGTACAAAATGATCAGAGGTATAGATGGAGGAGACAGCCAGAGACATTTTCCTAGAGTGGAGGTAGCTATTACAAGGGGGCATAGTTTTAAAGTGAGTGAAGATAGATATAGGGGAGATGTCAGAGGTAGGTTCTTTACTCAGAGAGTGGCAGGGGCGTGGAATGCACTGCCGGAACGGGTAGTGGAATGGGCTTCGTTAGGGGCATTTAAGCGGCTAATAGATAGGCATATGGATGATAGTATAAGGTAGGGGTGGAGGTAAGATAGACCTTAGGTTTAGGGTAAACGATAGGCACAACATCGTGGGCCGAAGAGCCTGTGCTGTGCTGTACTGTTCTATGTTCTATGACATTCATAGCATCACACCAGGTACACTACGCATTCTGGTTTTTAACCCACTTTCACTTAATACAGTATCAATGATCCCTTAGTGGGTTAGTACATAATTGCAACACTCTCTGTGGTCCTGATCCAAACAAGGCAATTGCGTTCTCCAGTGGTCCCCAGCATTACAGATACTGTACCAATCTTCAGCAACTTTAGTTCATTACACATGATATCAACAAACGGTTGAAGGCACGAGATACTGCAAAGGCTATGGGCCTTGACAACATTCTGGCAATTGTACTGAAGACATATTCTCCAGAACTTGTCACACACTAGGCAAGCTCTTCCAGTACAGTTACAACACTGGCATCTTCGCGACAATATGGAAAATGGTCCAGGTATGTCCTGTAGATAAAAAACAGGACAAACTCACCCCAGCCAATTACTGCCCCATCAGTTGACTGTCAATCATCAGTAAAGTGAGAGAAAATGTCATCAACAGTGCCATCAAGCAGCATCTGCTCAGCAATAACTTGCTCAGTGACCTCATTACAGCGTTGGCTCAAACATGGACAAAAGGGCTGAATTCCAGAGGTGAGTTCAGAGTGACTGCCCTTGACATCAGGGCTGCACTCAATTGAGTGTAGCATCAAGGAACCCCAGCAAAACTGGAATTAATGAGTATCAGGGGGCGAACTCACCAGTGATGGGAGTCATACGTGACACATAGGAAGATGGTTATCAATGCTGGTAATCAGCCATCTCAGCTCTAGAACATCTCTGCAGGAGATTCTTGGGGAAGTGTCTCAGGCCCAACCATCTTCAGCTGCTTTATCAATGACCTTCCCTCCATCATAAAGTCAGAAGTGGGGATGTTTGCTGATGATCACACAATGTTAAGCACCATTTGCGACTCCTCAGATACTGAAGCAGTCCATGTTCAAATGTAACAAGTTCTAGACAATACCCAGACTTGGGCTGATCAGTGGCAAGTAACATTCATACCACACAAATGTCAAGCCTTGACCATCGATAAGAAACAATCTAACTATCGCCCCTTGAAATTCAATGGTGTTACTATCACTAAATCCACCACTATCAATATCCTTGAGGTTACCATTATCAAAATCTAAACTGGACCCACTACATAAACACAGTGGTTACAAGAGCAGGTCAGAGGCTAGAAATACTATGCTGCGTAACTCACCTCCTGACTTCCTAAAGCCTGTCCACCATCTACAAGGCATGTCAGGAGTGTGATGCAATACTCTCTATTTGCCTGGATGGGTGAAGCTGCAACAACACTCACGAAGCATATAAGCACCCGGGACAAAGCAGCCTACTTGATTGACATCACATCCACAAACATCCACTCCCTCCACTACCGATGTTCAGTGACAGTAGCATGTACTATCTAGACTCACAGAGTCATCGATCATACACAGCATGGAAGTTGTCCATAGTTGTCCAACTAGTTCACGTCAACCATATTCCCAAACCAAACAAGGCCCACTTTCCTGCATTTGGTACATATTCCTCCAAACATTTCCTATTCATGTACTTACCCAAATGTCTTTTAAGTATTGTACCTGCATCCACCACTTCCTCTGATAGTTTATTCTACATACGAACCACTCTGTATTTAAAAAGTTGTCTCTCATGTTATTTTTAAATATTCCTACTCTCTCCTTAAAAATATGCTCCTAGTTTTGAACTTCCCCACCCTAGGGGGAAGACCGTTGTTATTCATCTTATCTATGCCCTTCATGATTTTGTAAACCTCTATAAGGTAACCCCTCAACCTCATACGCTTCAGTGAAATAAGTCCCAACCTATCCAGCCTCTCTTTATAATTTAAACCCTCCATTTCCGGCAACATCCTGGTAAATCTTTTCTGAACCCTCTCCAATTTAATAGTATCCTTCCAATCACAAGGCAACCAGAATTGTACACAGTACTCCAGAAGAGGCCTCACCAACGTCCTGTACAAACTCAACATGACATCCCAACTTCTATACTCAAAGGTTTGAGCAGTGAAGGCTAGCATGCTGAATGCCTTCTTAACCATCCTGTCTACAATGTGATGCAAATTTCAAGGAATTATGTATCTGAACCCCTAGGTCTCTCTGCTCTACAAGACTACCCAGGGCCCTACCATTAACGGTATAAGTCCTGCCCTTATTTCTTTTACCAAAATGCAACCTCGCATTATCCAAATTAAACTCCATCTGCCATTCCTCAGCCTATTTGCCCAGTTGAGCAAGATCGCTTTGCAATCTTAGATAACCTTCTTCACTGTCCATTATATGACCAATTTTTAAGGACTTTCAGTGAATTTCTACGGGCATCTGACAGCAGCTTCTAAATCCACCACAACTTGTATCGAGAAGAACAAGGGCAGCTGATACATAGGAGCACCACCAACTTCAAGTTCCCCTCCAGGCCACTCACCATCCTGACTTGGAAATATATTGTCATTCCTTCACTGTCACTGGGTAAAAATCCTGGATTTTCTTCCGGAAAGGCATTGTGGGTCAATCCACAGCAGGTGGACTGCAGCAGTTCATGGAGGCATCTCACCACCACCTTCGAAAGTGCCACTAGGGACAGGCAATAAATGCTGACCAGCCAGCGATGTCCACACCCCATGAATGACTTTAAAAAATGTCAGGAAAGTGGAGTTAAAGCCCAAGATCAGCCATGATGTATTGAATCATGAAACAATCTCAATAGGCTGAATAGTCTCTTCCTGTTCCCAGCACGTGTAGTTGACAGGATTAGATGAAGAGTGATGGGATGAGACTTGTGTGGGAGCACAAAGACCATTTGGATGGATTGGCCTATTCATGCTGTAGTGTAATTCTATAATATTAATGTCCTGGCATGGATTAATCAGCAAGGAATAAAAAGAAGCTGGGTCAGATTTTTAAAAATGGTCTTATGATTAATTATTAATGTAAATATAATAATTGCATCTTGCGTACACAGCTGTATCTGGAGTGCTGTGCTTCATAACAGTGGAACAACTGGCTCTGAAGATGAATGATGGCAGGAGGAATTAGCTGGCTTTGGATCAATAGCATTCATCTTGCATTGCACTAAACTTGCCAAGTGTCTGGCTATGTCTTCAGTGTAGTTGTGAGAATATTGCTGGCATGAATGGTTCAATTCTGCCATGTGTCAGATTGCGAATGCATATGTTATTTAGAGTGTTTTTAGCACCCTCTCAGTAGCCAGCTAAAGATATATTTTACATGCTTTGACTTCAGACACATTCAACTCTCATGTTCAATTCACCTGTTCCCTTTCTGAGTGCTGGCTCTCAGTTGTTTCCCTTGGATTTTGACACTATTTCAGTGACATTTTGTGACTTTAATTTCTACTTATTCTCTCCCTGCCTAAACATTTTTAAACATCACGTACTTTTGGACACCGGAAAATAGGAGCAAGAGTAGGTCATTCAGCCCCTTGAACCTCCTCCTCGATTTAACTAGATCATGGCTGGTTGTCTTCCTCAACACCATTTGCTTGTACTATTCCCATATCCCTTTACATTATTAATAGAGTCATAGAGGTCGACAGCACAGAAAAAAGGCTGTTCAGCCCAATGAGTCTGTGTCGGTCAGAAACAATCATGGTGGACTGGTTAGCAAGGTTAGATCACAAGGAATACAGGGAGAACTAGCCATCTGGATACAGAACTGTCCATTACACCTCCAATTTTGGTGTCATCTGCAAGCTTACTAACCATACCTCCTATGTTCATATCCAAATCATTTATATAAATGACAAAAAGCAGTGGACCCAGCACAGGTAGGAGACAGAGGGTGATGATGGAAGGTTGCTCATGTATGGTCCAAATTGAGTCCAAGCCAAACGTTTGTCTCACTATGTTTGTCTCACTGTATGCACACTTGAAAAAGTTGTTGATGGCAGTATGGTTGGATTTTGAATGGCATTCTAATTTCACAATTAACACTAAAAACCCTCATTAGTCATCCAGAGGATATATATTGGTTACTTTGTATATTTGTATATTTTGTTACAAATTGCTACTCAATATGAAAAAAATCCACATAATAAGGTTTCTTTTAAAAACAGCCTTAGTTACAACTGTTACATTCAGCCATAGCCATCAAGTTTGCGGTCTGAAATTTAAAACTGAGGGTTATTAATTACCATTAACTTCTTGTTTTGCCGTGTTTGACTATTTCAGTGTGATTCGCTGCCTTTCTTCCACTGCATGCTCAAATATTTCCTGTGACCAATGGTGCACCAAAAAGATCAGTGCTGGGTCCACTGCTTTTTGTCATTTATATAAATGATTTGGATATGAACATAGGAGGTATGGTTAGTAAGCTTGCAGATGACACCAAAATTGGAGGTGTAATGGACAGTGAAGAATACAACGGGAATTTGATCAGATGGGCCAATGGGCTGAGGAGTGGCAGATGGAGTTTAATTTAGATAAATGTGAGGAGCTGCATTATGGAAAGGCAAATCAGGGCAGGACTGATACACTTAATGGGAAGGTCCTGGGGACTGGTGCTGAACAAAGAGACCTTGGAGTGCAGGTTCATAGTTCCCAAAAGTGGAGTCACAGGTATAGTGAAGAAAGTATTTAGTATGCTTGCTTTCATTGGTCAGTGCATTGAGTAAAGGAGTTAGGAGTCATGTTGCAACTGTACAGGACATTGGTTAGGCTACTTTTGGAATACTGCTTGCCATTCTGGTCTCCCTGATATAGGAAGGATGTTATGAAACTTGAAAGGATTCAGAAAAGATTTACAAGAATGTTGCCTGGGTTGGAGGGCTTGAGCTACAGGAAGAAGCCGAATAGCTGGAGCTATTTTCCCTGGAGCGTCGGAGGCAGAGAAATGACCTTATAAAGGTTTATAAAATCTTGAGGGGCATAAATAGGGTAAATAGACAAGGTCTTTTCCCTCACTTGGGAGAATCCAAATCACTGTCCCCCAGGTGAAAGGGAAAAGATTTAAAAGTGACCTCAGGGGCAACTTTTTCACGCAGGAGGTAGTGTATGTATGAAATGAGCTGCCAGAGGAAGTGGTGGAAGATGGTATAATTATAACATTTAAAAGGCATCTGGATGGATACATGAATAGGAAGGATTTAGAGGGATATGAGCCAAATGCTGACAAGTGGGTAGATTTATTTAGGATATCTGGTTGGCATGGATGAGTTGGACTGAATGGTCTATGTCCACGATATATGGCTCTATGACTCTGGTCTATAACTGGCTCTATAACTACTCTGGTCCTACTTTCCAGCACTTGGTCTTGCATGCTTTGGCATCCCAAGTGTACATCTAAATACTTCTTAAATGTCTTGAGATTTTCTGCTTTTACCACCCTTACAGGCAGTGAGTTCCACCTGCCCAACACCCTCTAGGTGAAAAATATTTTTCCTCAAATCCCCTTTAAACCTTCTGCCCTTTCACTGAAATCTATACTGTCTAGTCATTGATCCTTGTACCAAGGGGAAATGTTTCTTCCTATCTTTGGAATTCATTACTCCAGAGGACTGTGGAATTCAATACCCCAGAGGAGGAGATAGAGAGATTTTTAATTAGTAATGGGTTAAAGGGTTATGGGGAATGGGCAGAAAAGTAGAGTTGAGGCCAAGGTGAGATCATCCATAATCGTATCGAATGGCAGAGCAGGTTTAAGGATTGAATTGCCTACTCCTTCTCTTAATTTATGTTCTGGTTACCAACATATTTGTGACTGGAAATGGTTTCCCCTTATTCATTCTTAACAAAATCTTTCATAATTTTGAACATCTCTAACAAATGTGTCCTTCCTTGTCTCTACTCCAAGGAAACCAACGTCTCATTTTCTAAAAAAACGGAAGTCATCAATCCCTCCTACCAGTTCAGTCACTCATCTCATCAGGTCTCCAAAATAAAAACTCTCTTCCAAAGTATGTTGTCCTGATTTAACCATAATGACTGCGGCTGGCTTCTGATCAGTGTCCCATTAAGGTCTGGCTTGAACTTCTTCACTCTTGTACACTCTGCCTTTACATTTTTACTTATTTATGGGACTTAGGTGTGAAAAATCAGCCAAGGGCGAATAACCCAAGTCTTCCTGAATAATGGCTACCTCCCACTGTCATACTGAATCATGGAGCAATTTGGACTGGCTCAAACTGGCAACCAGAAATTAATACATCCAACTTCCCCTGTCCTGTATCTACCATGGATGTACACCCGCCAGACTTCCATGAGGACTTGAGGCACAGCAACAACTCCAAGTGAGTGGGGCCTCTCCCCATTTCAGAAAGTTGTTGAACCGAGGTAACAACTGGAATGGACTCAAATCCTAGGCTCCTCCTTCCACCAATCCATGGGGTGCTGAAGCCAATGCTATTACCCCCTCTGAAATCAGCATCATTGGCCCAGAGCAATGATCAACCCTGACTTCATGCTGCTTTTTACTGTTCAGCTGCTTACTTGGTGAGTAGTTCAAAGCTTGTGTGACATTTCTCTAAGTCAGAAATCCAGTACTTACTGGTTCTCCTTTGAGTCCCTTGATCTGTAAAAGATAAAAAGGAGGTAATTAAATATGAGGTACCCATGGCGCAAATCATTCATGTTTAAGTATAAGCATACTGAGAACATGCCAGAGATTGATTGTTGCTGTTTGTGTAGGCTTTAAAGAGTTTTTGGGTGACAGACACAAGGTAATAGGAATTCAGCTTTGGACAGAGGCATCTTGCATGATTTACAATTCTTCAATTGTAAAGAATAGTTTCAGATACCACAGGTTAATATCTAGTTTAAACTCTTGATACACATTCCCTTTGTCTGAAACACTGACTAATTCATTAAAAAATTTCCCTGGGATTATAAATATATTTTGTATCTAGTACATTAGGATCTCCTTGTATCACTTGCAGGCACATAACCAATGGAAAATGTGGAATTAGAGCATTTACATTCTAGGTGTAAGTATATGTGCAGATGTAACTCTAGAGTTTCACCATCCACCTCTCCCTCATACGCCCAGCATGACCTCAGTCAATCCCTCACCCATCCCAACCACCAACCAGAAAAGCAATGGAATAGTTGTTACCAAATTGAATTCACAAGACTGTCAGAGAGGTGGCTTTTCATCTCCATCGACAATATTTTGACAAGCAATTGAGAAAAGTGGTCAAGATAATGCAAACTACACAATTTTATTACAATCCCTCCAGAATTTGTCTCCTGGGATTTTGGCAGAGATTGTTTGTGATTAACCTGGAGACTCCTAGAGAGACATTAATTCCGTTTGTGAGTGCAGGGGCAATGGCAGCTTCTGGCATCATGAGGAAGACACTCCTATCTGATGCATGGGAACCATATGGAAAAATTATTTTAAATCACTGTAGAAAATAAAACAAAACTTAACTATCCCTTTACTTCTCTCTCTGCTATACAGTCTAACTAAAAATTTTTTTTTAAACAGGTCTTCCTTCGCAGCTGCTGCAAACTCAAGGATGAAAGATGTTGTAAAGGCATCCCATCGTCTCATAAAAGACGATGGGATGCTCTCTCATTAGAGAGAGATGACTGGTGGTGGTTTAGCTTGAAGGTCACTGTGCTTCAGGTGAGGGGAAGGTTGAGAAGGAGAATCCTTCATGGTAATCTCAGCTGATGCGGGAATTGAACTCAACTGAGCTAAGCAACCCCAGTATGGTGTAAAACTTCACTTAGAGATAGAATAGAACTTTCATTAAACATCCAGGCAAAAATATGGCAATGGAGAGAAGCAGCCCTCTTTTGGTCTAAGGACCAAGGTCCTCAATCTGTTGTCTAAAAATTGAAACTGCTGGAGAAACTCAGCAAGTCTGGCAGAATCCGTGGAGAGAAAGCAACGTCGGGTCTAGTAATCCTTCATCCACTGCTTTATTCACAGGCGCTCCACACCTGCTTGGTTTCTCCAGCAATTTCTATTTTTGTTTATATTTCCAGCATCTGCAGTTTTTTGTTTTACCTTAACGTGTGGTGTTTATTTTATGCCTTCTTTTTGCAAACTCACCGATCTCAGATACAGGACTGGTAAACAACAAGTACATTAAAATTATTTAGAAACTATAGTTAACATATATACAATTTACAGGAAACACATCTTCTATAGGGATTCATCAACCACGGTTATTCATAGCAACTGCAATTCCAGCTACAAAAGTTTATAGTTGGTCACATGCTGCTTTGCACCCTGGTTTCTCAATGACACATGTACAATGTTTTGAGAAGATTTATAGCTTGGGTGGTGGATGAGGTTGTAGACTTGCTCGCTGAGCAGGTGAGTTTGATTGCAGATGTTTTGTCACCCTATTAAGTAACACTGTCAGTGTGCCCCCGGAGGTGCACTGATGATGTTACCTAGTAGGGTGATGAAACGTCTGCAATCAAACACGCCGGTTCAGCGAGCAAGTCTACAACCTCACACCTGTACAACTTTGTGCATATTCTCTTCAAATATCACAACATAAAGAATTATAACAAACAAAACTCTCTCTCAAACAGCACAGTTGGTCTTCCTACACCACAGGAACTGCAGCAATTCAAGAAGAAAGCTCGCCAACACCTTCTCAAGAACAACTAGCGATGTGTAATAAATGCTGGGCCAGCCAGCGATGCCCATATCCCATGAACAAATTAAGACCAAGATGAGTTAAAGCAACAAGGTAGGTGAAGTCAGGTTTAGGCTTCAAAATCTGGGTCAACATTTTTGCACTGCCTTCAGTAGTATACAATAAAAGCTAGTATATTTCAAATCTTCTCAGGTGGTGAAGGCTGGTAGATGGTAAAAAGAAAAGTTCAGTAAATTAAAGGCTTGAATTTTTGTAAAGATGAATGGCTTCTCTGTCATTAGAAAAATGGCTTCAGAGGCCTGGATCTAGAGGTCTCGCTCCAAAACACAGCACTTACCATTATCACAGGAAGTGGTTGCAGGGAGACAACTTCCAACTTGCAAATCCATAGTTCACAGAGGCAGCTGTACTTGTTAAAGTGCCCATTGAGATTGTTAAAAATAGATATTAACGTGTGCAAAATATCCTTAAACTCACTGGAACTGTAAACAGATTTGTCAAAAGGACCTGTAGAGGCATTTAAAATTCCTGCCCCTTAAATATTTGAAAAAGTTTGGAATGTTAAAAGGTGTTTTCTATTTCACTCTAGGTTGACATAAGTTTGAGTGCGTTCATCACAGGAGAAATAACTAATTTCACAATCTTTCATTTTCACAGTGGTGAATAGCTTGATTGATAGTTCCAAATGTTTACAGTCTCTTTGAAGTCAGACTGCGGATTCCAGTGCACGTTTATGGGAATAAAGAACACTGACTGCGGTGAGTGGGCTTTCATCAATAATGGTGTTATTTTTGAAGTTCTGAATTGATCAATGACAGTTAAGAACATTTTTAACCTCAACATGGGTCCCAAGGTCTGCTCATGATGGACACTGGATGATTTGGCATGATCAATGTAAGGGTAGAGGGCTGTGTGTAGGAGAATGGGTTGGCATGAGTAGGCACTAACTTATCATAGTGAATATAAAAGATCATGGAAGGTAGGTGAAGGGTAAAAGGCTGGCCAGGCAGACATGCGGAACCAGAAAGGATGATGGGGGAGAGAGGGATGGAACAGAGTGCATCGGGCCACTTCTTTTGATGTAACAATGTTTCTATCCCTCTCACTAATAGATAAAGAAGTAAATCCCTCGTGGTTGCTTACCACAGTTGATATCCCTCCCTACGACTGTGAGTTGTTGATCAGCTCGAGGGACGATGAGATGAAATTAAAGGATTTGCTAATCATAAAGATACATCACTCAACATCAACAGCAACCTTGTAGGCTTCAGCCAACACTTGACAATCTATTGAGAGCCCTGGTGCAACTCACTGGGCACAACTCACTGTCTGATCAGCTATTGTCAAAATCTGCTAGAATTAGCCTGTTAAGGTTTAAAGAGCTGATGATATCTGAATGATTGACTGCACATCATAAGTTTGTACTTAACAAAGAAGATGTCTTGGATTACTGACCACATCACACTCACACATTACAACAGTGACTTCACATCAAATATACTTGGCACAGTACTGAGATCTGAAAGATATTATACAAATGTGTATTTTCTCAACCAGGCATCAATCAGCACATCACAGCCATTTTGGCTGCCAACAGAGCTCCCAGCCAGACCCAACCCACCTGCATCATTGCGCGTCCCTTAACCAAGCCTGTGCTTCATTGAAAAACTGAAGAGGAGTCAGGCCAGACTCAGAATGTTAATTCTATTTCTTTCTCCATCAGTGCTGCCCGATCTGCTGAGTTTCTTCAGGATTCTCTGTGTGTTTTTTGCACTGAGGCTGATTTTGCCTCATACTCCAACCTGAATGGTCAGAACGTTGTAGTGGGATTCAGCCCAGTCAGGAAAAAAAATACCCCTTTGCCTCTTGTTTCATTCACAAATTAACCCAATGCTCCTGTAATAAGGCAAACAGCCTTTGTACTGGTTGTCTGATCCTACTGTTGTTGGAATCAGGGCATCAGTCTGCGAAGGGTAAAACTTTCAATCCCAAAACTAAATTTCTAGTGTAACAGCCTGGATGTCCAAACATTGAGACTTTCTCAGAGTCCTGAGGGACATTGAGATGGAACCTGAGTCAGAAATCTTTCACTTAGCTGGGAGATTTTGGGCCATCTGTTTCTTTGATGTTGACTGAGGGATGAGATCTATTGAGCAAGGCACTGGGGATAATTACGCCCTGCTCTTCCTTAAAGTAGCTCCAGTGAGGGGGCAAGGGTGGGGAGTGGAATCTTACACATTTGGTTGTTAGGTTCATCTGAAAGACAGAACCTCCAATAAAGCCATACTGCCTCACCAGTGCAGAGGATTGTCAGCTGGGAGTATTGTGCTCAATGCGGCACAATGGCTAGCAATATTAGCAATACTCTGAAAGGGGTAAGGCGGGGTCTTTACGTGAACACCAGGGTGCTTTAGACCCATTTGTGCCATTTGTGAATCATTCCGTGAGGTCCTGTCATTAACAGTATTGTAGGATGCAATGCTTCAGCCTAAATGGGGTTCTAAAGAGCTGTTTTCAAACAAATATTTATTACGATGCAGAAGTTGGAAATTCAACTCTAAGATGGGCCAGAGCCAAGGACCCAAGTTTGATTCCAGCCTCAGGCGACTGTCTGTACGGAGTTTGCACATTCTCCCCACATCTGTGTGGGTTTCCTCCAGATGCTCTGGTTTCCTTCCACAGTTGAAAGATGTGCAGGTTAGGGGGTTGCTCGTGCTAATTTTCCCAAAGTGTCCAGGGATGTGCAGGCTAGGTAGATTAGCCATGGGAAATGCAGGGTTACAGGGTAGAGAGTGGTTCTGGATGGGATGCTCTTTGGTGTGGACCTGATGGGCCAAATAGCCTACTTCCACACTGTAGGGAATCTAAGATTCTATGTTCTGGAATAGGACTTGGACACCAAAGCCTTGCATCTCAGAATAAAGAATGCAACCAAACTGAGTCACATTGAGGG